TCAATAAACAAATGAGTTCCCTCCAGTTCTGACTCCCCCACTGCCTCCTGTTGGTGTCGTGGCTGGACCAGCCAGGGTGGCCAGACTCTTAGTCTCCCTCACAGTGTTCTCATTGCCATTTCTCCAAGATATGAGAAGAACTGAAACCAAATGAAGGGATCAAATATCCTGATCATGAAAATTCCGTACCAGATTCCCTGTATTCACAACACTATGCTGACCAAATTATTGACTGCAAAATGGAGATCTTTGATAAGGACAGAGTCCCAGGGCTGGCATCAGAATGAGCCTATTTTCCCAGTTGCTGGGGATCCTACCTTGATCCAGGTGTGACTGTGTGTGTGTGTGTGTGTGCGCACACAGGTGCACACGCAAGTGTGTGTCAGAGGTCAGCTGCTCTGGGTGTTGTTCGTCAGGTTCAGTGTTTTGAGACAGGGTTTCTCACTGAATAGTTTAGGCCCACTTGCCGTGAACCCCAAAGACACACTTGCCTCTGTCTCCAACACTGGGATTATAAGTATGTGCCCTGTGACTGGCTTTTCTTATGGTGAACAAATCCAGGTCCTCTTGCATGCAAGATAAAAATAGCTTGGCTGAGCTATCACCCAGCTTCCCTTTTGTTTTTCTTTCCTCTTTTTTTTTCCTGTTTGTTTGTTTATGTATTCACTGTGATAGGGTCTTCTTCTATATCTCAGGCTGCTCTCAAACTCATTGCAATCCTCCTGCCTCAGCCTCCAAAGTAGTGAGACTTCAGATGTGGCTTAACATGCCTGGTTGAATTTCCTTTCTTCATACGCCAAATGATGAGAATTAAAACGTGTCTATGGCTGGATGTAGTGGTACACGCCTATAACCCAGCATTTGGGGGATAGAGGCAGGAGGATCAAGAATTCAAGTCCCAGCCTGATCTACATAGCAAGTTGGAGGCCAGCCTGGATTGCACAAGACCCTGTCTCAAAAATGAACAAACAAACAAACAAATAAATAAATAGACAAATAAATAAATATAAATAAATAAAATCAAAATCTTCCTATGGAGCCAGGCGGTGGTGGCGCACGCCTTTAATCCCAGCACTCGGGAGGCAGAGGCAGGCGAATACCTGTGAGTTCGAGGCCAGCCTGGTCTACAAGAGCTAGTTCCAGGACAGGCACCAAAAACTACAGAGAAACCCTGTCTCGAAAAATCAAAAAAAAAAAAAAAAAAAAAGAAAGAAAAAAAAAAATCTTCCTATGGGGTGTTGTTACCAAATCCACAGACTCTTTCCCCACACAATGCCATCTACAAATTACTACATAGTTCTAGCAGCAGAAAAGAATTTGTATGTAATGGTCAGTGGAGACGGGTACTCGCACTCTAAGGGGACCGTCTCTCCTAGCAGCCTGGGAGCCCGAGTGCTTACTCAGGTCAAACAATTGGGGGTGGGGGTGAGGGGAAGCATTTGCAGCCATCAAAACCTTCCAGGAAGATTTCCAGGAACTTTGGTGTCCTTTCTTCTCTATTTTGGGCATGGCCCAGCTTTGTCATGGCAACCAGTAGGGATTTATTTATCATCACAAAGATCTCAGAGTCGTCTAGAGTGCTAACTTGGCGCCCAGACCAGTTGTCTGGAGCCCTTTGCTTCAGTGTGAAGACCTGTGGTCATCCGATGGTCAACAGCTGGGCGCATGTGGCCATGGGGTTTTTGTCTTTTTGCAAGCAAGCAGTGTTAGATTGGCAGAACAAGGAGCTGTCTGTATTTTCACGGTTCCGACTGGTGACTTTGTTTTAACGGCCAAGGGAGCTGCTCCCTTCCCACTGTCCTCACAGGGCTCTCCCTAGTAACAAGCAGCAAACCCACAGGGCACCACACCGACCAAGAAGCCTCCAGGGTGGCCAGAGGGAAAGAAAGCACAGTCGCTGGAGCCAAGGGAAGAACGGTCTCAGCAGTGCGACCCACTGCCACCTTGAGAGACTCTCTCCCCCATGCAGAACCTCAGGATTTTTATCTGTAAACTGGGGTGTCAGGGGCTGGAGAGATGGCTCAGTGGTTAAGAGAACGGGCTGCTCTTCCAGAGGTCCCGAGTTCAATTCCCAGCACCCACATGGTGGCTCACAACCATCTCATAACTGTCATGAGATCCAATGCCCTCTTTCTGGTGTGCAGATCTACATGTAGACAAGAACATATATACATAAAATAAATAAATAAATCTTTTTAAAAATTAAAATAAAAAAATAAACTGGGTTGTCCTGCCAGCCTCCAAGAAGGACTGTGAAAGGGAAGTGAGGACACAGGAGGCGCAAGGCAACGTTTGGAAAACAGTGAACGCACTTGGGCTGTGTGAACTAGAAAGGGCTTTGCACAAATTACCGACGAATTTCCTGGATCAGGAGGCCTGACGTCTTCTCCAAAGCTGGTGGAAGGCCCAACTCCTGCAGAACTGAACACCAAACCACAAATATAGACTCTCACCCAGGGATCTCAACCTCCCCAATGCTGTGACCCTGTTCCAAAGGTTGTGGTGACCCCAACCATAAAATTATTCTCGTTGCTACTTCATAACTGTAATCTTGTTACTGTTATGAATTGTAATGTAAATATTAGTGGTTTCCAATGGTCTTAGGTGACCCGTGTGAAAGGGTCATTTGACACCCCCCCTCCCCAAAAGGGAGTTCTTAGAGGCTTCTTCCACCCTCATGATTCAGAGAGGTGGCTGCTCAGAGCAGCTGTGCTGCGGGCCTAGCATCTGCTCTCAGGAGCTGGTTCCACTTCCAGTGTAGACTGCTGTCCACAGAGCCCATCCAGCTGGGCTCCCAGATCCTAGCGGAGTTACTGTCCCATCCTGGGCCTGAGCCTCCATCCACTGAGTGGCCCTGAATGAAAAAGGACAGAGCAATGGCCTTCAACGAGAGCTTGTCTGCAGGCCAGGAGAGGGGAGGTCTTTAATTCTCATAAAAAGATAAAAAGTTGGGGAGAAACTGGGAGGAGTAGAGGCAGGGGAAATTGTCAAAATAAATAAATAAGAATGAATAATAATAGTAATAATAAAGATAAAACAGACCTCATGCCAGGAACTTAAGGCATCTTGACAATCAGGAGGGGGCATTTGCCCAGGAGACACATTTGCTCACCACTGCCAGGGTCTGGGAACCCCTTCTTGCCCGAGTCCTCACTGATCAGATGGAGTGATCAAGGTGACTGGGGTAAGCTCACAGCTGGCTTATGGATCACTGTTCATCCCAAACAAGGACAGTTCTGATGCTACTATCTTTCACCTACTTAGTAGACATTATTTGGAGGGGGGATGTTGGGGGGGGGGTCTCACGTAGCCCAGGCTGGCCTTCATCTTGCTATGTAGCTAAGGCTGGCCTTGAATTCCCGACCCCACTGCCTATGCCTCTGGAATGCTGGTATCAGAGATGTGCTCGCCAGACCCAGCTCACTGCTTCTCCTGAGCTCACGTTTGCTGAGGGCGAGAAGACGCGATGAGCAGCAAGATCTTTGGTGTCAGCACAGTGGTGCCACCATGTTCTTACTGCCTATGCCCTCTTTGCTCACCTTGCCATTAGCCTGCAAAGTCAGGATTTTTAACCACAAAGGAGAGGAGTGAGGCCCTTCAAGTGCCCAAGCAAAACTGAAGCCACAGAAGGCCCAGGCCAGTCACCTCCTTTTTCTGGGTACCCCGAGGAAGGGATTCCCTCTTCTCTGGAAGTCAACCCCTCCCCACTCCCAACATACTATTTCTTGGGCCTTGGCCATCAGGAGCACAGCTGTGGGTCCCTTATCCCTCATTAGTGAACAAGGCCCTGACTAGCAGCTCTGGTTAGTCACCTTCACCCCACCCCAACAATTCCTGCCAGTGATGGACAGCCAGTACCGCACTGGGCTCTGTCTTCAACACCTGAGAATTAACATCACAACTGTTTGTGGGCCTAGTCCTTTGTACCACTGAACCAGTTATCTTCCTTGTCCTTGGCGAAATGCAGCAGTGAGTGAGGTCCCAAGCACTCAGCCCTGTCCCAGACCGTTTTGCTCACCCTCCCCACCCCTCCCGGGAAAGAGAAAGCCGGCAGGAGAGCCGACACAGAGAGGGCTAAAAACTTGACAAGGTCATACAGCTGTTAAAACAAAGGGCAGTCCGCTGCTGGTGGCACCCTAGCTTCATCTCAGAAAAGACAAGTTCCCAGGAAGAATCAGTCCCAAGGAACTCTGCCTAACTCATGCCTGATGAAAGGGCAGAGAGACCAACCCCTCAGAAGGCTGCAAGAGGATTGAAAACCAAAGCCTGGGGCTGGAGAGATGGCTCAGGGGTTAAGAGCACTGGCTGCCCTTGGAGAAAACCCAAGTTCTGTTCCTGGCACCCACTTGGTGGCTCCCAACCGACTCTAGCACCAGTTCTAGTGACCTGGCCCCTTGTTCAGAGCTCCCTCAGCACCAGGCACACACATGGTGAGCAGACACACGGGCAGGCAGAACACTTGTGCACATAAAGTAAAGAATAAATTTTTAAACAGTAAAAAGATAATTCAAGACTTGCCTGTACTGCGCAGTGAGATCAAGGCCAGCCTCAGCGGCTGGCAAGATGGGGTTGGTGAAATAGCTCAGCGTAAAGGCACCTGCTGCTAAGCCTGAGAATGAAAGTCAGTCCCCAGGACATAGATGGGGAAAGGAGAGAACCGACTCCCACAAGCTGTCCTCTGACACACGACACACGTGCACTGTGACACACACAAACACATACAATAAGCAAATAAAATGTAATGAAAATCGAAGAGAGCTAGAGACAGGATTAAGTGGTAGAGCACTGCCCAGGCACGCATATGGTCTTGGGTCTGACCTGTTATACAGCAAGGAAAAAAGCTCTTTTTAAACATATTGGCCTGAGAAAGATGCCAGAATAGTTCTTTAAAAATCCAGCCACCAGTCCGCTTCTGTGTGGCCAGGGGCCATGACTTTGGCCTCCTGAGGACATCTGTGTAGGATTCTCCTTTGCCCAGCCAGGACTGGAACCTTCCTTACCTGTAACATTCAATGTAGTCTCTGCGTGTCCCTCGGGGTCTAAGCCACAGTGCTGTGTGGCAGCCTGGCAATTGCAGAAGTGAGGAAACACAGCATATCACTGCCAAGTCACCCCTGGGAGGAAACACAGCGACCGGGGGCCTCTCCAGCGGATGCCACAGGAACCTCCAAGCTGAGCCAGTCAGACCTGAGTACTGCAAAGGTTTCCTGCAGAGCAAGCAAGGGGCAGAGTGGGTGTAAGCAGTAGCCACTGGGTCAGGGTGTGTGGGGAGGGGAGGGAGGAAGGCAGGGAGGAGAGAGAGAGAGAGAGAGAGAGAGAGAGAGAGAGAGAGAGAGAGAGAGAGGTAACCAGTTAGCACAAGAAGGAGGGTGTGAGATGTGAGAGAGAGTCAGAAGGGAAAGGAGAGGGCAGGGGGACAAGATAGAGGGAGGAAGAAAGAATGATGTAAACAGAAACGCACGAGAGGAATGAGAGGGAACAGAGGCTGAGACCGAGGGTGTGAGAAGAGAGAAAGGATGAGCTACAGCACGAATGAACATCTCAGTGTGTGCGCCTCTCCGTAGGGCAGAGAGAAAGGGAGAGGCCACTAAATTGGAAAAGGATGGGAAGGGAGCGCTGGAAGCACAGTTGTGCTCATTAAGACTGGGCAGGGCATCCCTGGTGACCAAGAAGCATCAGACCCAAGAAGCCTGTCGGAACACAGAGCCACGGGGCTGGAGGAAAGAGGAAACTTCTCAAGTCCCTGAGCCGGAGGTTGGCTGCAAGGGAGTTCATGGGAGTAAGAGAGGGTGAAGAGGTGTGAGCAGCTGGGGTTGAGTCCTAGTGAGTGTGTGAGAAGGTGAGTCAGGGGAGGACTTCCAAGCGCACAAAGGAGTAAGAAGCCAGAGCCCCGTGCTTTGGTTTCCTTCTGTTTAACACTCCTTGCTTCAGTCAGCTAACCAGTATACACAGTCAGCACCAGGTCCCGACAGACACTAGCTAAGGATGCACTCCCCTCAGGTACCAGTGGACCCAACACCCTCCTACACACTGTGGGAAACTCAAGCCCAGAAAGGACCGGAGTCTGTCTTACAGTGACACATGGCCAAACAGAGCCAAGAGGGCAGGGCCTCTCCACACACACTGCCCCACTGCAGTTCCTGAGTGACTCAGCTAGCCCCTTGCTGCTGTTGTCAAACGTTGGTGACGTTCCTTATCAATGCTAAAATGGCTCCTTCCAGGTCAAAGCCTCATGAACGTGTGCTTCGGCCCCAGAACTAAAACAACAGGGTCTGTGGCCTGCATTTACAATAGAGGCCCTGAAAGGTGGAGACAGGAGGATCAGGGGTTCAAAGCCATCCTTGGCTATGTACTGAGTTCAAAACTATTTGCCAGGCTGTATGCCTTTAACGCCAGCACTTGGGAGGCAGAGGCAAGCAGATCTGAGTTTGAGGTCAGCCGGTCTACAAAGGGAGTTCTAGGACAGCCAGGGCTACACAGAGAAACCCTGTCTTGAAATAATAAGGTAAGTTGAAGAGTGATGGAGACACTTAGCATCTGTCTTTGGCTTCTGTATGCATGTGCATGGGTTTGCACGTGAGTACACACATAATACATAAGTGTCTGTGTGTGTGTGCCTATCCCAAGAGAATTTTCCAAGGAACTTCACAAGCTGACTATTTAAATTCCACATGAAAAAGCAAAGATCCAAGAATAGCCAACAACTTCCTGAAGAATGACCATACACAGCCCAGGAGACAAGCTGACATACCAAATCTTTTTTTTTTTTTTTTTTTGGTTTTCAAGGCAGGGTTTCTCTGTAGCTTTGGAGCCTGTCCTGGAACTCATTCTATAAACCAGGTTGGCCTCGAACTCACAGAAATCCGCCTGTCTCTGCCTCCCGAGTGCTGGGATTAAGGTATGCACCACCACTGCCCAGTTGACATATCAAATCTTGATACAAAGTTACAGCATTCAGATGTGTGTTTCATCTGGCAAATGATCAACAGAAATATTTCACCAGTTAATGACAATTTGTGTGTTGTATATAGTAAGTGGTTATGGGATCTACCTGTGGGTGACAAGGGTGTGTTGTGTGTATGTGGGTATATATGGGGGATGTTGTATTTCGAGACAGGGTTTCTTTGTATAGCCTTGGCTATCCTGGAACTAGTTCTGTAGACCAGGCTGGCCTCAAACTCAGATATCAGCCCCCCTCTGTCTCCCAAATTCTGGGATTAAAAGCATGCACTATCACTCTCTGGCTATTTTTTTTGAGATTTTTTTAAATTTATTCATTTAAAATCATATGTTTTGTGTATATATGGTGTGTGTGGAGGGTTTTCTGATCCCTTGGAGCTGGAATTACAAGTGACTGTGAGCCACCTGATATGGGTGCTAGGAATTGAATTCAGGTTCTCTGCAAAACACAGCATATGCTCTTCGTTTGTTTGTTTGTTTTGTTTTTGAGACAGGGTTTTTCTGTGTAGCCCTAGCTGTCCTGGAACTAGGTCTTGTAGATCACATTGGCCTTGAACTCAGAGATCTGCCAGCCTCTGCCTCCTAGTGCTGGGATCAAAGGTGTGTGCCACCACTGCCTGGCCTTTTTTCTTTTCTTTCTTCTTTTTTTTGGGGCGGCGGGGGACAGTACATGCTCTTAGATCTGAGCCATCAATTCCAGCACTCAGGAGGCAGAGACAGGCAGATCTCTGTGAGTTTGAGATCAGACTGGTCTACAACAGCTAGTTCCAGGACAGGCTCCAAAGCAACACAGAGAAACCTTGTCTCGAGAAACAAAAACAAAAAAAAACCAAAAACAAAAAAAAAGGGTGGGGTGGGGGCTGAGCCATCTTTCCAGCCAAGAATTTATTTTACTTTATTTTTTAATATTTATTTATTATGTATTCTGCTTGTATGTATGTCTGCACGCCAGAAAAGAGCATCAGATCTCATTATAGATGGTTGTGAGCCACCATGTGGGTGCTGGGAATTGAACTTAGGACCTCTGGAAGAGTAGCCAGTACTCTTAAACTCTAAGCCATATCTTCAGTCCCTATTTTTGGTTTTTCAAGACAGGGATTCTCTGTATAACCCTGGCTGTCCTGAACTCTCTTTGTAGACCAAGTTGAACTCAAACTCAGAGAGATCCTCCTACCTCAGCCTCTGAATGCTGGAATTAAAGATCTGTACCAACCACTTGACTGGTTAAGACTTTATTTTTTTAACTATGTGTATACATGTGTCTCTCTGTGTGTGTGCACTTGAGTGCAGATGTCTTCAAAGGTCAGAAGAGAGCGTCAGATCCCCCTTGGAACTGGAGCTGTGAGCCACCTGACACGGATGCTGGAAACTTAACTCAGGTCCTCTTAACGAGCAATATTTGCTCCTAACCACTGAATCACCAGTCTGATTCTTTTTTTTTTCAAATAGGGTCTCATGTAGCTCTGTGACCTCATAATTGCTATAGAGCTGAGGATGACACTGAGCTCCTAATCCTCCTGCCTCTACCAGCTACAGACTTGGGCCCACACACAGCTGAGGCTGTAGTTTGTATGATGTGTATGAGAGAAATGTGTCTGTTCATTATTAAAGATCTGAGGCCTGAGAGGATGTGGTGTGTGTGTTTGTGTGTGTGTGTTGTCTGTGTCTGTATGTCCATCAGAGAGACTAGTGAGAGTAAATTAGACATAACTTAGCTCTAAAGATCCATCCAAAGCCTGAGTGGTTCTTAGGGTCAGCCAGACACCCAGTCATATCTGAATCTCATTCAGACCACTTCTTACCTGAGCCGTGGTGAGGATGTTGGTCCAAGCGGTGACAGAGCTGTAGGTAGGGAGGTCACTGAGAGCCAGTTTCCTTGAGGGCATGTTTCCTTGAAGGTTCCTGAGCTCAGGAAGCAGGATAGAGAATGGAGGAGGAGGAAGCCGAAGGCAGGCCCAGACCAAGTGTGTGACTCACTTTATTCTGCCAGCCAATCCCTCTTTGTTCAGTGGTGTCAGTAGGATGAAGAATTAAGGGAAGCTTGCCTTGCAGTTCTGGTGAACAGCCAGGGCACCTGAGGCCAGGAAGCTAACTCTTTGGGTGGAGCCTCAACCCAAGGTCACCAGAAATACTCCTAGCTAAGCAGTCAATTCAGCCCCCACTGGGCCCACCTAAAGCTGAGCCCCTCTGAGGGAAGAACCAGGCCTGGGGTAGCAGAAGATTAAAGAATCCTACTCCTCGCCTGAAGGGAAGAAGGACCCAACCTATGGAAGATTCCAGCATTGTTCTCCGGAGCCCAAACTTCAACAAGATGGTCCCAACTCCAGTGAGCCCCATGTCAGAAAGCCCCAGAGCTGATTACAAAAGGCACTGGTCTGAGGGACACAGAGGACCATAGATACCAGTTACTCCTAGAGAGGAAGACTGGATGCCTAGCCTGCTAGGAGACTGCCTGTAGTTCTCCGGGTTTTTATTTGTTTTTTACTTTTACTCTTTGGGGGCCTGGCACCCAGCTCCCAGATAAACACATGGAGACTTATTCTTACTTATGAAGGCCCAGTCTTAGCTTGATTGGTTTCTAACCAGCGTTTCTAGCTTAAATCATCCCCCTACCCTTTGCCTCTGGGCTTTTACCTATCTTTATTCTAAATCTCTTCTTACTCTGAGGCTGGCTATGTTGCTAAGTGGCTGGTGCCTGGCGTCCCCTTCTCCTCCTCCTTCTGCTCTTTTTCTCCTTCTATTGACTCTCTCTGCCTGGCAGCCCCACATGCCCTCTCCTGCCTAGCTATTGGCCACTCAGCCACCGGGTGTTTTAGGCAGGTAAAGTAACACAGCTTCAGAGTTAAACAAACGCACCATAAAAGAATGCAACACATCTTTGCATCATTAAACAAATGTTCTCCAGCATAAACGAATGTAACACATTTTAATATTCCACAGCATGCGCCTGCCTTCTGAAGCTACCTCAGCTGAGAGGAAGGTAGACATGCCTTTCTCTGAGGAACTCTTAGTCTGGTGGAAACCAAAGGCTGCAGCTCTCACAAGAGTCAAGGACTTGTCTGGAGTCCCAACTTCTGCACTGCAATTCACCCCTCTTCACCCAACTTCTCACCAAATAGCTGACTACGCAGCCAAAGGAATGACTAGTTGCCTGGGATGTTTGCATGTTGCCTTTCAAGGCGCAATCACTGCTTCACCAGATGCTGAGGCTTCACGTTGACGTCATCGCTTACTCAGATGCCAAGATCCTCACCCTAGTTCACTGGCTCCTTCCACTTTACCTGTGCCCGGGGAGGCCTTGGCAGCAGTTGGCTGTGTCATGGCAGGTTCTGTGACTCACGGCAAGCTACAGAAGAGGTAGCTCTTTCAGTTACGCTCCCTCCATGAGCCTTTGATGCCTAGAGCTCCCCTTGTCCTCTCTGGTGGACAACTGGCTACAGAGGTCCTGCCCTAGAGGCCACACTTGACTGTGAGACCTCAATTCAGTGCCCAAGGCAGTCTCTCCCTAACTGGGTCACCACAGAGGAAGCTATTTGGGCAGGGTTATGCCCAGGGTGAGGGCCATTGCTGCTCTTCCAGGCCAGTCTGTGGCACAAAACTGTGGCAGAAAGGAAATAGATTGTCCTTCTAGAAAATACCATGTCCTTATTGAAACCCAAAAGGCTGAAGGTGACTTCAAGAACGCCTGATCCTGCCTCTCTGGTGCCCATGCTCTTCAGCTGAATAGTCCTCCTCTTGATGACAAAC